ATAATGTTGATCCATACAAATACACAATTGTTTTGGATGCCTTAATTTGATATTCCAAAAGAGAAGAGAGAAAGTGAATCTCGGATGACTTCGAGAAAAACTACTCCAATTATTAACCACGCTAAGAGAAAGTAACTTACAGTCTCATTAATTTCTCTTGTTACGTGCACCAATGACCAACAAATGTCCGCTAACAAAGCATATCCTTGGGTTTCACCCACGTGACCAATACCTTAGCAACGGTTACTGTCCGCCATCTTGGTGTCCCTCGAGCGTAAACAAACCGTATCTAACGAAGAGTTCAAGTGAGAAAGAAGGGATGGTTTTATGCATTATTGTTGGCTGTTCGAGCAAAAGTGGAGAGCATAAAGACTAAGGATTTTTTCGTATAATAATTTAATAATTTTATTATTTCTATAGCGCAAAATTCATTATATATATGATCTAATGCGCTATACCTAAGATCATCACAAATCAAGGAGAAGAACAGGACGAACTAGAAGTTGTTGTATTGTTCGAGGCTTGCGGCTGTTGTAGATCCTCGATTTTTTGGTCGAGCTTTTCTTTGAGCTTCTTAGCCGATGAGAAATCGATGTCTTTAGCCCTCGCATACGGCACTTCATTGACCTATGTCGGCAAAATCCATGAGCATTTTACCTGAGTGCAAGTAAGCTTGGGGTGTCACGAAAACTCACACCCCGAAAACTCAGACNGGTGTCTCCCTTGTACTCAGTCTGTTGAAAGCCGTCTGTTGACTTGTACTGTCCACCATATTAAAGCGTACAACTTCCTCCGGACACTGGCCTCAGCTGCCTTACCGTTTCTAAAGTCGCCACAACTTAAGATTTTCGATCGGAATGTTTGTCGACCCAAACAGTTGACTGTAGTCTGTAGCTGTGGTGTGGCTGGAGTCACCACTGCGCGTAATCTTTTATTTTTCTGCCGCTGACCGACCAAAAAGCTGGTGAGATCATATCGTTTTTCACTGAAGGATTGTTAGATGTTCCAGTAGCAACTTGTTGATTATACCAACATTTGCCATCATCACGCATCCAATTCTTGCTATCGCTCTTGGAGAATCGAGCAGTTAGGGTCCATCCTTTAGACTTGCCGTGATATCACAATAAACCTAACAGTACATTGTAAATGCATTTAAATTAAGGAGAGGATAGTTATCGTTTGATTAATTGTAGGTTCGTAAGGGAATTGATATCAAAGTTATATTCTAGTCAAGTTAAAATCATTTTCAACAGGTAGGTATGACAAATTAGGAATTGTTGGATCTTACCAATTTGATCTTGATCGTTTAGCTTATTATTTTTTGCAGTCTTCTGGTAAATAAGTTAGTATTATGATCCCACTGTACAGCAAACACAGACCTATTCATCCAAGCAAAGTAATGAAACTTTTCGTTTGACTACAGCCTATTGTGATCTCTATAAGGTCAAAACGTTCATAGTGCGCAGCAAAAATTTTGGAGCTCATGAATAAACGCCATGTTTGAGGCGGCTTAGCCATTTTTGTCATTTCACATTCTGTCTCACAGGAAATTGAATTTCAGGAGCTAAACTAATTCAAATCAAACTTCAAAATCGTTTGGATCAAAGTAAATAGTTTTATGCTTACCTGTAAACGTTTTCTGCTCGTTCTCGACGTTTTCATCTGTTTTATTCGTCATCTTCATGCGACGTTTAACATCTAAAATGCGCAGTGCGTTCATTTCCGTTCGCTTGTTGACCGTCTCCATTCTCAAGAAGAGCACAACAATCAGTAGTATTGAAATGAAATAAAGAACCAAAGAGCCTCTGCGAAAAGCATTGTATTAGCATTTTGCGGAAGGTTTCTTTGCTGAGTATATCGTAGCTTTAAGGGAGTTCAAATGTTACAGATCATGTTACATATCAAGTGTTACACATTAAGTGTTACATATCATATTACATATCAAACGTAAAGATTTTTTTTTTTTTTCACATCATAGTGGTTTACCCTAAATACAAGCCATATATTTCCCAGGCTGCTCTCGTGTAAGTAAGCAGGTGTGTCAATCCTTTAAAATGTTACAAAGTGTTGAAAATTAAAGATAAATGTTCCTACTCGGTGAAAATCCTATATTTGTTGATTACGCATCCTTCCTGTGTTATTCTGTGAACTGAAAAATCCGATATCATTCGTAACTTTCGACAAACAAACAGTTCGTGTTAGCAACTTTTCTCGAAAAGATGTCTTTTGGACTCCTTATGAGACCAACGTCAATGTTAACAGTTATTCAGCAAAAAGGATGATTCAAAACCTATTCATCGTCGTGAATGACTTAACTTTATGAGTATTCCGTAATATACTCCTCACTTTATTTTCAGTAGACGTTGATTTCCTTCCGCACCATCTGTCTCTTCCTTCCTCTCTTTTTCAGGACGAAACTGTCCAAGAACATTTCAAGAACATGCAACTTTGAAACAGATGAATGGATAATCGAAATTTTTTACTGTTTTGTTGACGGAACTGGAAACGAACTCATGATTACAAACATTGATTTAGTTCAAGATTAAGGACATTGATTNTTATTCAACGACCATTGGTAGACCACTGCCCTCATTCGTTTCTGCAATGCAGAGTAGTAAATATTTATTGCTATTCGGCTCTTTTAGCATGTAAATTAGTTATTATATATCGTGATAGTCCATGCCGCTTAAAATGGATCACTTATCAATAAAAAAACCCACGCTCGTGATATAGGTTTGTTTTTCGAAGTAACGGTTAGACGCTATTAAAAATATCAAAGGTTTTGAGAGAGTTAATTCTCCCAATCCTATTCTTCCAGATAACCAGTTCTAATTAACAAATGGTAAACACCACAGCGTACACTATTGAGTTATGGATGCACGCGGGAGGTTGCTAAGCACGAAAGAAGCGTAAGAGTCGCTCGAGGCGATAGCCGAGAGCGACTCTAGCTTCTTGAGTGCTTAGCAAACCTCCCAAGTGCATCCATAACTCAACAGTGTACGCTGTGGTGTTTACCATTTGTTTTATAACATAACATTGATACATTGTAGCTAAAGAGTTCCCTTTTATTTAACAAATCTTACGTGACCAGAGAAAACAAGTGCGCGCGGAAAGAAATAGTCTTTGCGTTTGTCACGTCAGCAGCGTACACCCATGGGAAAATGGGGGACGCTAAATTGACCAATCAGAGCACGCGCTTTGCTTTGGTTATGTTGTAAAGGTTGTTAACGACAGAAACGATTACATGTAATGGCTTTTTTTTTTTTTCTGACATGTTTCTCGTTTTTGCTGATATTGATGGAATAAGGCAAAGTGTTCTCCTCAAGTAAAACGTTAAAAAAGCCCACTTATCGGCAAAAATACATTGACACAGAGTTTGTGCGTTGATGTTTTAATTGACGAACGTAGTAAAGGGTTCTTGGAAAGGAAACTACGTTTAAACAGGCCCCCTTAATTGATCGATCGGACACTTGTAATTAGTAGTCTTGAGGAAATGTTGTATTTTCATTATTTCAGTAAATTGCATGAAGTACGAATTTATTTCCGTAAAACAAATAGATGGGGAGTAGAAATGGACCAGCAGGTATCTTTACAGCAGGTGAAATGTAAACCTTGATTGCATCATTAACTTTTCCTGTGTTTAAAATGCAAGAGTTTCCCTAAACTCCGTTTGAATTTCCTGTTTTGTTCACTTATTTTCGTGGTCTCTTGTTCGTCCATAAGCGGTTGCACGTGGGTACCGTAATGATTCGACTAAGCGCCCTTCCTATAATAGGGCCCCCTCTCTCATAAGCGGCTCCAAGCTCGAATTTTTTTTTATCAAAAGGCGCCCCTATTCTAATAGGCATCCCTGTTTTGAATGCAATCTCGTTTTGATAAGCGTCCCAATAGGATAAGCGCCCCTATTCCAATAAACGCCCTTATTCTGTTTCAGGCATAGTATTGTACAGTGTACATGTACATTGATATTAGCGGCGGTTCATCTTTCTTTAATTGCTCACTTGAAGCTTCATCACAAAAACAGTGGTCTTGGTCTCAATTTCTCAACCATTATTTCGCCGTCAGTACGCAGTTCCTTCAAATGAAATATCCCCACTTAAAATATTGCGACGACTGTTTGGCTATAAATGTTTAAAGAAGGAATGATCCAAGGGAAAATAGTTCGTTCAGTTTCAACTCTTTTCTATCAATTTCAAACGAAACTCGAAGATTGTTTCACATTCTGCTGTTTCTCAAAAAAAAAAATTACATTTTTAAGCAACCTCTTTCCAATAAGCGCCCTCCCTTGAGGTAGATCAAGAGTAAATAGGCGCCCCGGAAATCAAAAATCGAATCATCGCGGTAGTAGTTTTACCTGGCGGATATAAAATTTTCAGTGGAAAAGAAAGTATCTTGGAAGCATGGGCCGTTTTTAGATCTGGAGAAACTCCTCTCGATGAGGATCCTACTAATAAACTATAATGTACTTCTGATACATTCAAACAACCGTCCAAAAAGGAACGAAATCAATGATATCTATTGTGGAGCGGACAAGCCCCGAATACTATTTCTGCAGTTATATAATCATTAAAGGAGTGGACGCCGATTACATCATACATTTTGTGTTTACATAAACATTTAGCGTAGATACATGTTACATATCAAGCCTAAAGATTTATTTTTTGTTTAAATCATATTGGTTTACCCTAAATACAAGCAATATAGTTCCCAGGCTACTTCTTGTGTAAGTAAGCATGTATGTCATTCCTTTAAAATGTTACAACGTGCCGAAAGTTAAAGATAAATTTTCGTGCTCGGTGATACTCCTATACTTGTTGATTTGCATCGTCGAGTCCCAACTTAAGCTAATTTAGAACTATTATTAAAAATACACTTTAATTAAGTGAGAGATACGAAAAAGTGATCGGTAATAAAGCGTCAGAAAGCACGATTGATTATTTTCTTTAATTCTGATATTCAATTTAACTGGAAAGCGTTTCCAAAACAATCAATTCGGTCCTCTAAAGATGGAATAACTTGATGGTCAAAGAGGCTTGGTTAGCTTCTGTAATACCAACACCGTGGTCCGCCCGATAGCAGCTACTTCCTCCTCCACCAATCATCATCACTGATCCATCACCAGTACTCCAGTCACACCAGAAGCCGATCTTGTTTGCGCTTTGGATGGTTCCACTGCACTCAGCCTGTTGAAACCCGTCCGTTGACTTGTACTGTCCGCCATATTGAACCGTACAACTTCCCAGACACAGATCACTGGCCCAGACTTTACCATTTCTAAAGTCGCCATAACTTGTGATTTTGGATCGGAATGTTTGTCCGCCCAAACAGTTACCCGTGGTCTGTAACAGAGGGATGTGGCTGGGGTCGTCACTGCGCGTGATTTTTATCTCGCTACCGCTGACCGACCAAAAGGCTGTTGAGATCATATCGTTGTTCACTGAAGGGTTGTTTGTCGCTCCAGTGGCAATTTGCTGGTCATACCACCACTTACCATCATCGCGCATCCAATTCTTGCCATCGCTGTTTGAGAATCGAGCGATAAGTGTCCAGCCTGCAAAGAAAGAACATTTCCCATCTTTTCTGTTTATAATAACAGTGTATGGATAGTTTAATTTTATTTCTAAGTCTTTCTGGATGGCCATATCGGAAAGGATGATAATTTATTTTTTTTTAGCTTCTGCAATGGTTTCAAGCTTCTTCTGTTTTTCTTGGCGTCATTATTAAAAAAAAAAATAAACAATGAAAAATTTTCTGGTGACAATAAAGGAAATATATTTAAAAAAGATAAAATTATTAAGTTGGCAAAACTCGTAGGGAGGAAATAGTTATAGCTTAACTAATTAACTGACTCTAAGTGGTGTGATTAACAGATTAAGAACAAATAGGGTTACTTATACATGTTTCTCTACTTTTACAAGAACATTTGTAGGAGCCATAAATGTTCTGGCAATTGGCGTTAACGTCACAAGGCCAGAGGGAAGCATTGCACTCGTCAATATTCGAAGGAAAATGGAAATTAACCTTTGGGTAAATTTACAAGAGAATTTAGAAATCAATGATAACAATAGGAAAGCGGTAAGCAGCTGAAATTTGAGGCACTATCCGATTGGGGAGGAGAATTACACCGTCAGTTAAGTATGAAGCAGTCATGTAAATGTACACTAAATTTTGTTTCATCAGTTACACAATGTCCCCATTTGCATGGTTCACGCAAACGCAGACGTTGCTGTATGTCTTCTTCCAATGTTTTACATTCTTCTGACTAACAGATCAGCAACAAATAGGGTTTACCTGTACATGTTTTTCCATTCCCAAAAAATCCGCTTTTACAGGAACAACTGTAGGAGCCGTTAGTGTTGTGGCAGTCTGCATTAATGTCACAAGGCCGAATGGAAGTACTGCACTCGTCAATATCTGCAAGGGCAAAT